GTGAGGCTCACAATAAGAGTGAAAAAGTGATATTGCAATTGCGAAAATGAAAATACATTAAAATAAATTAAGAACTTGAAATAGTTTCGTAATTGTATTTTGAAAGAAAACCATTGCATTTATTTACCCTAACAGATTTGTAAGCATTGATTTAATTTATAAACAGTTACAGAGTAATCAACTATGCATTGTTTTGGTTTACAGATCTACGAAAGTTTCGAACGTACAAGGGTGACAAAGTCCGAGATTTGTTGCGTGCAATGAGGAATAAAAAGCATCATTATCGTGAGTTATCGGTTGAATTACAGGAGGTTCTTGGCCGTGTTCCAGATCAGTTTGTGTCATATTTCACTGAAAAATTCCCAAGGGTAAAATAAATTAGCCCTTTGGTCAAAATATAAAGATTATTTATACTGAGAACCAAGTACAAGACAGGAAATAGTATTAAAACATATTAAAAGAGATCTTCATTTAATTCAATTTCTAATTTCAACGCTGTGAATTTCTTTACTATTGAAGAACTAAAAGCTTACATATTTTATGGATTTTCAGTTGTTGCAACATACGTATACTGCAATGATTTATTGTGCCACTGAGCCCGCGTTCAGTGAATATTATTCTGAAGAATCTCAAAAACTGGCTAAAAGTTTGGTTCAGAAGTTGGAAAAAGAAGAAAAGGAAAATAGAAAAGCAGCAGTTCAAGTGATATGTAAAGAAGCAGAGAATGAAGTCAGTAAAGTTGGGGATAATAAGGAAGCGAGTGAATCAGAATCTCATCAAGCCAGCATTGTAGAGAGGGAAATAGAAATTGCTAGTAATATTGGAGAAGCTGATGATGCTGAAGGTGTTGTGGGGAAAAATCCTGAATTTGTTACCACAACTATAGCTCATGTTGAATTTGGCAAAATTCGATGGAACCGAAAAAGTAAGAATCGTCGTAAGCGTTCAAAACCGGTTTGAACTCAAGTTAAGAATGATATCAAATTAAATGAGTCACTTATGTTTATTTTTCGGTTTTTTCTATTCCTTTCTCTTTCTATGATGTAATTCATGCTTCTTACCAGCTTTTAATGTGTTATAATGTCACTCGCGGCGTATTACCAAAAATCAAATTCAAGTTTAGTGATCTGCATTTATGAAAGTTGGGTTTCTTTCATTGAGCACTTTTTTCTGCTTTCTGTTTTGGTTTAAATGTGTGGTATATGATGTGACAATCATTTATAAAGGTATGTTTCATTTTCAGACAAATTCATTCAACACATTTGGACATATTTCATCAGTTCTAGAAAAAAATTATTTTCAAAAGAGAAGTCGTAAATCACTATTTAAGCGTCAGCGTCTAAAACTGTAGTCAGAAGAACTTCCTTATCAACAGCAGGAATGATTAAAAAAAGTTGAACACGAAAAATTTTTTGTTCCAAAGACTCATACTTGTGCTTTTTTGCAATTCAGGGCTGAATTCGACATGACATTATTGCAGATGGGCTTAAATAAGTTTACAGAAGCATTGTCATACTTTTGTTCACTAATTAAGTCATGTATTTTTGACATTCTAGTCATCTAGTACTTTGTTGTTGAATCTTGTTGTAATTCAGTAATTCCAAAAATATTTATCTCTGCATGAAACTGAATGCTATTTAAGGTATTTTCTAATTTGAATTTTAAGCGATAAAAATATAAAAGAAATAAATATTTTTGGTTAATTTACTTTGTTGCTTTTCATTATTGTTGGTTTTAGACATTCACACAAAGTTGTATATTGTTGATTCGAAATGGCATCCAGTATAATGAATTTTTCTACTGTAATTATGTAAAATGTGCTCTTATTGGGAATTTTTCTTTTTATTGAAAGAATACATGCAAAAATAAAATATACGTTGATTCGTTTCTCACATGGTATGCATTGCTGATCTTCAGATTCATGTAATATTGGACTTGAAGTAGTTTAGATGCAGAATGAATAGAATTCTGGATGCGGATCGGAATTATGCAATTGCCGTCAATACGAGGTATGGAATTATGAAATTGTTTTTAGTATTTAGCTCCAAATTTGAGGAAATTATCAAAGCTGAAGTTTTAGTGGACTGAAGATAGTGTGGGGTTAGTATGATAAAAAGACTGGATTGGAGCTAAATTCGGTTTTGGGTTGCATACACTTTCAGTCAATTATTTCTGGTCTTGCTGGACTAATTTTAGCTAGAAATAAATAGCAACAATTATTCCATTTATGGAATTGTTTAAGAGTTCTTTTCTTCGAAGTTCAATGATTCTGAATTGGGTCTCGTGCAATGTATCTGCAATTGACGATAGAGAAGCTATAACTAACTCAAGTGAAGAAGGTAATGAAACGGGCTAAGCTGCTGATTGGCAACATTTCAAACAATTTCATCGCAGTACTGACGATATTGGTCTAATTTTAATCTTCAAAATGGGAAAAAAGGTTGACATATTGTCTCTTAATCCCTTAACAAGTAGGTGGCGGACTTAGAGTGTACATGGAGCACATATAGTAGACATCTGACATTTTTTGCTCAGTATGGAAAGCTACCTGACGTTGTACTTGATGTTAGAATAATTTGAAGTCATACTTTAACAATCAGATTTCGGAATCACTTACAACTGAGGTCGGTTCCTCAGTATACTCAAAAAATACAACTATATGTTGGCAACTTCAACCAAGAGTTAAACTAAGTGTGAGTGATATAGCTATCTGTCAAAAATGTTATGTTGTCACTTTCTACCTTTTCTTCGCATTAAATCAGTAAATGACTAGTTGCTCGATCTAATTCTTAATACTACTTTCTCACTGTTGGCAATTTTAATAGGTATTTAAAAAAAAAAAAATAAAATAAATCTTAATTTGTTATTTTAAAATGAATATCTAATATTTTGAGTAAATGGAAATAATCCGAATCCAAAAGAAGAGTTGGAGCTATCAGTCACTGGAAAAAATATTTTAAATTGATATTTGAAAAGTATAAATAAATTTGTAACTTTGAAAAATAAAGTACCACGACTTGTTACTAACAGAGTTGTAAGTCGGAGCAGAAAAGTTTCGCTTTCAACGAGTTTACTCGTGATGGAATGAGTATACTTTAATGCGTAATAAATTTGCCATTATTTTCAGTAATCTACAATAATACAGGATGAAATTTTCGCATTTCATAATTTTCTGTACAATTTGCAAACATAACTTACAATAAGAGATATATTTTTTGACTATATTTTTACTTGATTTCTAAATATATTTTTGAATATAATTTAAGGAATATTTTTCATAAAAAAATACTCGATATCACGCAAAATTTTTCTACTGAAGAAAAGTGAGTATGTGATTGAAAAGATTAAGCAAAATTTACATTGCAATGAAAAATGAGGGATATTAGAAAATGAAAAAATAAATTCATAAAAAAAGTGCTTTAGAAAACAAAATATTTTCATATAATTAAAAACACATTAAGAAGCAACAGAAATGTGAGTGATATATATATTTCAAACTCAACATTCACATAATTCATCAATCTTGCTTCCTTAAAAAGTGTAAGTGAAAATGTTTTGCAGGTACTTACTTCTTCATCTCTTTGATTTATTAACACTACATTACATTAAAAAATATTATGTCAATTATTAATATGAGTGAAATTTAATTATTTACAAGTTTTTCAAATATTTTAAAGTATTACTGGCATTGAAGAGTATAATTACAACAATTACTGGCTTTCCTTTAATATGAAGCATTTGAATTTTCATCACTTTCAATGAATCATTTGTTAAACATGTGAACTGCTGGAAGAAAATGTTGTAATTTTGTGGAATGCTACTTATTCCATTTACTTTTTGCAAGAAGAGGAAAATGCTCTTTTGCTACTGGAATTAGTTTTCTATAGATGAATCAAAAAGATTAAAAATAGATTCCTTAAAAGCAAAGTATTAATATAATTTCAATTTTGAGCAAGTAATTCTGCTGTACGATATATATATATATATCGTACAGCAGAATATATATATATATATATCTATATATAACATGTGACAACATTGTGGGGAACGTGTGAAGACGGTGGACCATCTAGCAATGCAGTGACGACTATACACTAGAAAACACAGTGAAGTGCTACGATGCATCCACTTGGGACTCTGCAAGAAGTATGGTTTGGAAGCACTTCCGCGCTTGCGAAGCCATTATGCTCAAAAAGTCACGAATAAGAATGTTAAAATCAAAGAAGATACGCGAGTGAGAACTGTAATCAGAATAAAAGCGAATCGACCGGATATCATGATACACGATAAGAAGCGACGTTAAGTAATCCTGATTGAGGCTGGCATCACTAGTCAGGACAGGTTGACAGCAGTCGAGACTACTTGCATATTTATATGTATATATATCACGAAGTACGAAAGCAGGAAATGGAAGAGAAACAGAAAGAAGCCGAGTCTGGAACCATAAATGAAAACAAAAGAAAACAGGTTAGGCTGCTGAAAAAAGCTCCTTGAAGGTCATGGGGAAGCACTAACCAATGTACCGAAACCAGTTGAACGGATTGCCAGTCGAGTACAGCAAGAATCCCAAAACACGATCCAGTGCGAGAATCAACATGACAGAAGATTAACCTTTAACCTGCTGCACATGTTAATCTCATTTATTAATAAAAAATTGAATACCATAACTCAATCGATCCAAATTAATGATTCGAACTCAGCTGAACTCAACTACAGTAGCCAAGAGCAAACTTCTTTTTCACTCAGTGTAGCATTAAAAAACCATAAAATTAATTCAACTTGCTGTTTAATGTAAGCAAAATTTTCACCCATAATGCAGATACGAGTAGCTAGATTTGGTTTGAATGTGACAAATTAATTAACTACTTTGATATTAAGAATGTTAGCGTATCAAAACAGGAATTTATGAAGTGTTGTGGACTGAAAGACTCTTCGTGAACAGTTTCGAAACGATGTAGACTCGTTAATTTTAGAGATAACTAAGAAGTATGTAGGGTCACTACTGCTTTTACCATTTTATTAAACTTAGTAAACATTTGAAAGTAACATTCATTCTTATCTTAACAAATACTGTGAAAACCATTTCCTGATTTCCTTAGGTGACATTTCATACTTTCAAACGTGAATGTCTTTTCCAGCAAATGTAGATCATTAATAATCATTTGAAATCTTATTATTAATACATAGAAAAAATTTTTAAATTTAATAAATTTTTTGGCCAAATCGGAAAGAACATGAATTGAATAATCGGATTGAATTACCCCAGGCGAACTTTGGTCCCAATTATTTTTATAACATTGGTTAATGACCAAACTAATTACAATTAGATTTGCAGTCTTGACAGGAACCCAAACTAATCTGCTACTATATAAACATGGATGGATGGATGAACCGCGTGAAACTGAAAGGAAAACAATGCAAGGTCGCTCACTAATCTCTTTTTCCATAGTTCTCTCGATTCCAAATCTTGAAGATTTCCTGTTAAATAGTGGTATTTTAACAGATTAAAAATGCAAAACATGTCCACATAAAAAGTATTATCCGCAGACCAATCCTGATAGACATGAAACGCTTTCCCACTACGTAACCTCAACTCATGCTCTTTTACATTTTTCTTTCCTGTTGTAATTAAAAGAAAGTCTAGTCAGGAATAAACTTGGTAACCCTACCACACGACTCTAACAGTAGTTTAAGGCATGCTACTTCCACGGTTCACCTTAATCACACACTTTGCACCATAATATCACTTGGAAATGAATTAAGGGACTCAATATTGTACTGCCCAAATACCAAAGTGAGGTAGATTCAGAGAATTAATAACCATCTTGGAGAGGATATAATACTAGAACCAGCGTACCAATCTAAAAGCGATGCTACCCTAGCTAAGCAATGAGATACTAAGAAGTACACTGTTGTCCAAGTTACAGAAGTGGACAAATAATTGGCCCTTCCCCCCTCTCACTATCACAAGTCTAGCAGAGAAAGATCAGGTTTTCTAACGTTGCAACATATTCATAGAACACTTAAATAGAATAAGCAAACCAATCTACTCATCTAGATTATTAACAAATCAGTGGCATTACCACCAGATTAGTCAACTTGACCCTTGCACCCTTGCGAAAAGGATAACGACTGTCCTACATTACCTTCACTGCAGTTCCACAACCTTTGAAGGACCTGAGACTCCCCAATAAGTGAACCGAAGCACTGCAAAATGAACCCAACAGAACCAACCATTATTTCTGCTACCTTCATATGCCATGTATCCACTATTTGCCGTATAGCTGTCAAACCCCGCGAACTAACCAAGTAAACAAATGATTAAAGTCGTGATTATAATACACCTCAACAAGCCGAACTTTACTGATGAATGAAGCACACGAAGACAGCGAATCACACCACCAGTGAACCGGAATGCCCACGAAATATTTCTCATTTATGAATGAAATTCTATGCCTTCTTGGAAATTACTATTAAGATTACTCAGAGCATTTTTAAGATCATCCTAGAGCATACAAAAATTTATGTTTATATTATTTAATAAAAAAGCAATAAAATTTCACATATAAAGTTTTTATAAATAGTGGCGAAATCCTGAAACATTTTTGGAATAAGTTCAAGCAGAATAAAGCATTTAAACAAAAAATTTTGGATCAGAATTTCAAGGAACGATCATGTCTACTCCTGTTCAGCATACTCGGATTCTCCTTCTTGCATTTCAGCATCATCGTCAGCCGTCGCATCTTGGTACTGCTGATACTCCGATACCAGATCATTCATATTACTTTCTGCTTCTGTAAACTCCATTTCATCCATCCCTTCTCCAGTATACCAATGCAAAAATGCTTTTCGACGGAACATAGCTGAAATTAAAGAATCCATGAAAACCTCAACAAAAAGTATCGTAAAAGTCATTGAAATAATTAATCTTCCATACCCACAACTGATTATGACACCTTGCTAATAAAACTAAAAGTTCGCATACGTAACATCTTCAGATAATTTAATATCCTGTAAACTTGAAACTAGGAATCTGAGCAGCTAATCAAAATGAGATAAATCACATTTTCTCACCAGTAAACTGCTCAGAGATACGTTTAAAGAGCTCCTGTATAGCCGTCGTATTACCAATAAACGTTGCACTCATCTTCAAACCACGTGGAGGGATATCACAAACAGCCGTTTTAACGTTATTTGGAATCCATTCTACGAAGTACGATGAATTCTTGTTTTGCACCTGCATCATCTGTTCATCTACTTCCTGAAATCGTAGTCGTAAACATTGCATGCACTCAATTAAATTATAAATGTCAAGTGCAGCAAAGGATCGATGTTTAGATTCTATTAAAATCATTAATACCCGCATAGACATTCGTCCACGGAACATAGCAGCCACAGTAAGGTAGCGACCATGACGTGGATCACATGCTGCCATCATATTTTTGGCATCAAACATCTGAAAAAAGTACGTCCAAGTAAAAATCAGCACACATTATTAGTAAAATGTCTATTGCACACTGTATGTAGATCACCATATTGAAATAAATGAACTTTGCAAGCATCATTATAAATACTATTACCTGTTGAGTAAGCTCGGCTACATTTAAAGCACGATATGCAGCAGCTCCCCTAGCAGAAAGAGGTGCAAATCCCGGCATAAAAAAGTGCAAGCGTGGAAATGGAACCATATTGACTGCTAATTTACGAAGATCAGCATTTAACTGACCAGGAAAACGCAGACATGTGGTTACGCCAGACATTGTAACCGACACTAAATATAATACGAATTAGAAGGAAAAAACTTGCGACAGCAAATCTAGTATTTAGCAAACATAACTACGGTAAGTAATTCAAAATGCAACCTAAGTGATTGAGATCTCCATAAGTTGGATTAGACAGTTTCAAAGTCCGGAAGCATATGTCATATAAAGCTTCATTGTCAATACAAAAAGTCTCATCAGTATTTTCAACCAATTGATGTACCGATAATGTCGCATTATATGGTTCTAAAACAACGTCCGATACCTGAAAAACCAGGTGGGCTAATTACTCATACAAGAGGACCACGCAATAAGTACTACACGCATGATTAACTTACTCATTCATAGAATAATGTTGCTCCTCAAATACTTCATACTCCATTATATCTACTGGACAAAAAATAGAGGACACCAAGAAAAACCAACTAATTTAATTGGTTCCCTTCTGTCATTAACCTAATAAATACAAATCGAAACATACTTTTGGTGACGGAACTACAGAGAAAGAGCTCATGATCCGGTCTGGATATTCTTCACGTATTTTAGAGATCAATAGTGTACCCATACCGGAACCAGTACCACCGCCCAGCGAATGTGTTAATTGAAATCCCTAGAATTATATTAAGAAAGACTTGACTATGGATACAATAATTACAAAACAATTTAAAAACTGTACCTGAAGACAATCACAACCCTCGGCCTCTTTACGAATAACATCCAAAACGTTATCAACCAACTCCGCACCCTCAGTGTAGTGTCCTTTAGCCCAATTATTACCAGCTCCACTTTGTCCAAAAACAAAGTTATCGGGGCGGAATAGCTGTCCAAATCCCCCTGTTCGAATGGAATCCATCGTACCCGGTTCCAGATCGACAAGCACAGCTCGTGGGACATACTTACCACCTATAAATTGACTAAGCACATTAACTAGATCCCTTATAATCAATAGATGCATTGAAATACATGCAGAACAGAACAAGGGGAGTGCACTTTTGTTGTACGAAGGAACTCACTTGCAATTTGAGCTAGCAAATCAGCAATAAGCATAAACAATGAGAAAGAAAAAGCCATACCGATAACGAATATCATATGTATTAGAAATTTGTGCTCCATGACTATTTATGAAGATGCCATAGAAAAGTGAGGTCAGTAAATTATATCTACTTGACATGTTTTCCCTCCTCAATGTTTTTCCCTACCCAAAACCACCTTTAGAAAACATGCAAAGTGTATCCCTAAATTCATAAGGCATTATTTTGAATCGATTGTAATGAACCCTAAGGACAGAAAAAAATTTAACTCATCGCGTCAAATGATAACTGGCTCCAAAATTCTTATTCCACAAAAACGCAAATATAAAGACATTTCAAAGAATGCATATAAAGAGAGCACGCGAGAAAGAACTCTCTGCTTGGATCAAAGTAATGGACAACGAAATGAGGGGCAAAAATCAATGAATGAGTAACCATTTGCTTCATTGTAGTAAACGTTGATTCTTTCGATCTGCAAATCCGAGTCACCGTTATACGTGCCATCTGCTTGAATACCATGCTCGTCCGAAATCACTTCCCAAAACTAAAGAAGCAATTCATCCTATTTGTCAATAAATCGCAGAACCTTATTTACATATTATGCAAATATTTAACAGTTCAGCTTGGTCTACCTGGCGATGTATGGAATAAGCACCGAGTGACTTAGAAGATAATAAAATTAACAAATGTGCTTGATGAAGGTGAAAATCTACATTTAATTCAACAACTGTAGATTATAGTACCTTCCGACGTGGTCGAGTCCAAGTAAATCAATCAAACTTATAGTCGATAAAGAGAAAATGTAAGATATTCTGCGAGACTAAAAACTGTTCTGTAAAGGAACGAATGGGTTAATTCAGAACTGCAAGGTCGTTCGTTAACCTCATGAAGGTAGAATCAACAGAATGTAGTGAATCAATACCTTAGCACCAATTTGATTGCCGCACTGTCCAGCCTGAACGTGAACGATTTCTCTCATGACGACGACTTGAACTATTAGTCCAACTTCCGCACACCTAAAAAAACACACAAGTTCGAGAAAATTCTAAAGTCAAGCAGATCAAAACAACATAGTTGCAACACACAACAAACGAAAGATAGGCCACTAATGTCGCACTGATCATTCTTGGTAACTACCAAGTAACCCACCAATCCTATTCTTTACTAACTCAACCCCTCATCTAATTTAACAGCTCAGCAAACCAGAGCACAGCCGCCCAATCCCAATGCGACCAAGAGAGTGAACTACTATGTCTCGTTCAGTTGCATTTCAACCATACAGACAAATATGCATAGACACGCATAGACAATCGTTAAATCGTTTTTCGCCGAGAATCCTCTCTATTTCCAATACTATTTTCATAAACTACACGATTTGCATATTCACAGTTGCATCACATACGCACGTGTGCGCATGAAACATTCATTCACATACTCGTATATATACATATACAGTTCTGAATATTTAGATACGTTAGCACGGTACAATATGTACAAATATAAATGCAAGTGTACAGGAAGAAAATTTGCACAGACATGCTTCATAAAATGAGTAAACTATACCCTACACACTCGCGCACATACGCGCGTCATACATACAGACCCATCCACACTCGGCTACTCACCCGCCCCTGTATGTATGTATGTGTCTCACATTTCATCATACACGATAATAAGAACGCAGAAAGTCAGACATGTAGACCAACTGGACACACACATAATGCTGGTCGCTTTTCACTCAACTAAAGCCATTTTCATTGTCTGCACCCCTCAACTATCCACATTCCCTTCATCGATTTTAAGCATTACATGAAAATGGCGGTTAAATTTGTAAATAATCTCAAAAGTAACAATCGCTTATGCAGTAGTTCCAAACAGCACATGTTATTTTTAGTTGTAATAGCTTGTGGCGTAACTTTTAGTTACCATTTTGGATATGATATTGTAGTGGGTCAACATGAGAGAGAATGTGCATGAGTAATTGCTTTGCATGGGAGTCAGTTGTGTTGTGGGTATTTGCTATACCTAACAAGAACTAAAGCAGAACTGTGCTCAGAGTTGTTATGGATACAACTCGTGACATCAACTGAGAAGTGCCTAAAGATTGCAGGAAACGAAAGCGATAATTAAAGCTGCTTGAAGGCATCACATGAAGAAGCATTTCATGAGTCACTCACATATGCATGAACTACTTGGCATTCTTGTTTTCACTTTACGTGGGCTCACCACTTTTTTGTCCTTTGACCAGTTGTACAAGTAAAAATGCACACACACAAACATACTTCTAAATACTTTTTCAGATCAAACATATACATCAAATTGGTTTCAACGCAAAAAGTTTAATGAATCACTTATCCTATCTATTTTCATTGATAGTCATCAATTTACATAAATTATGCTAATGACACAAGACAATATATTGGTTTGATTTGCAAATTGTATATTATTGTTACATTTGGTTGGTGTAGCAGCAGAATCACCTCTCCACTACAGTGTTCTTCATTACGGGTATGTGGTACACAACTATATATTTTAATGACATGAAAGACAAATTGCATTCACGGCACAAATTTTTGTTACTGCATAAAGCAAATTTAAAACTGTCAAAGACGTTAATTTTCTATTCATAAAAAATATGTTGACGACGGCTTAATTCTTACTTAACATGCAATTCCATACAAAACAGCTGAAATGTTGATAAAGGTTTTACCCGTCAATCCGGTACTTTTCTGACTGTAGCAAAAACTTCAATAGAATATGTCAAGTGTCTTTAGTATTGACGTATCCTGTGTTTTGTTTTTTTGTTTTTCATTCACTCATTTCAGATATTTATGACTGATCGCGTGCAGCTTCGAGGTTTTCGGACATCTACAAATAATAGTGCTCTTGACTCAAACATTAATATCCAACACGATGGCAGTTCCATATTTGAGGGGCGTTTTAGAGCAACTCGCGTAGTTAGTTGCTTGCAATTTTTTTTATTAAATTCTGCCTTAAATTTCTAGAAATATATGCATATGTCTTCCAAATAAAATATTGCCTTTGGAATGAACGGTATTTTCAAAATATTTATTTTGGTGTCCTTGTGTTTCCAAACCGAAATTTTGTAGTAATTTTGTATTTTTAAACAGATGTATTCCAAGTTTTCGAAATTACAATTTGGTTTGAACATTTAGAAATCTATCACTCATGCAGAATAATTTTAATTTATGGAAATTTTTTGCATTCCACTATTTTTATGTAAGCGTGAAATATCGGCAGTTTGTCAAATCGTAAAAGTTTCTTCTGTTTATTATGTATGATGGTAAGGAAACTTGAAATGCTTTAAATCTAGTAAAATATATTTTTTAGACACTTCAAATCTTTTTGATTTGTTCATTACAGTGGAATGGAATGATAAAACGTTTCCGCAGTGCAATGCCAGTAAGTCGTCATCGCCGTCAGTTACGTTTTTTTGATGATTGTTTTGCGGGTCGTGAGGCAGTAGACTTTTTAATGAATGAACTACCAAAATTTGTCCATGATGGTCGAGAAGTGACCAGGTTTTTTTTCTGGCAAAATTACTAAGATTAAGGTTGTTATTGTTTTGAATTCTATAAAGTTTCTTTCACTGACGATTAGAAATAACAACGAAATGGAAGTGTGTTACCTGTAAATCACAGATGTTTTTCAGAGTCAACTGTTCTAAACTATTGAGTTTATACTTGCATATGGGATTATTCTGTTCTGTGCGAGGGAAGACTGGTAATAATGGAATATTTAAAGAGAACGAACTGTATCGGTAATTTTTAATATCAAGTTTGGTATGCTTTTTCGTTCAAATTTCTTTCAGAGAAAAGAAAGCTATGACATTCTTTCAGATTTTCGAGTGTCTCCATAGATTTGCTTGCCGCAACACCAATTTTGATCCGCCGTGCTGCTTCGTTCAATGAAAGATATAACCTGAAACAAGCGGAGTCAAAGAATAAAGCCTTTGGTCTTACAGCTCCACAACGGTAAAAAATTTTTATCACTAGTAAAAAATAAAGAATGCCATAAATAAATATTGTGAACTCAAGTTAAGGCCCTGAGAATTTTCATGTGAAGCTGTGGTAACAAAAAAAGAAGAGGAGAGTATCATATATGTTGAAAGTTAAATAATTCTTTCTATCTAAAAATATAATTTAGTATTCATCTTCCTGTTTGGGCCAGTCAAGACAATGACTTGGTAGTATCTGCACGGATAGCTTTTCCTCCATTGCAACCTACTGCATCACTTTCTCGTCGTTTGTCAGCATCTCATGGAAATTTACCTTTCATGTTAAGTTCTAGGGTGAGAAAATTTCTATTTTTGTCTTAATCTAGACTTTTTAATATTATAATTCCACTGCATATTTTTAGAAAGTAATTGCTGATCCTTGTGGAGAACTATTTTTTAAAAATGAGAAGAGAACTTATTCGGGAGAACTCAAAGAAATACATGAAAGAACACAAGAAACTGTGAAAGTGAAAGTAGAAACGGCAAAACAGCTGAATGCATTAGATGAAGTGATTGCGCAGTTGACTAAAATAAATATTGCTGATGTTGCTGATCCATCAAGCACGCAAAATCTTCGTCATTTTGGTAAAGTTATTCAGGTAATAGGCTTTTCCCTCTCTTGTCGATTTAATGTTTAATTGCAACTTACATTTTCGCTCAATTATTAGCTCGGTCATTTCAGATGTACTGAAAATTTATTGACTGAAGGATGTATTAAGTATATTTCTGAGATCGACTTTAACTTTTCAGAGTCAAAGTCCGAATAGCTGTTCGACATCAACATCTCCAGGAGCAGTTGTTAATGAAACGCATAGTGGTGCGCATCCATTTATGGACTGCAGAGAAATTTACAAGAATGTGTTGCTCTGTCGGTATGTCAAGCTTAGTCAGGAGTTCAGATAATTAATTTTTCTTTGCCGACTTTGTCATTGAAAACTGTGTCTAGAAGCTTGTATTTTGAATTCAGATTGAAGTCATTGCTACAAGTAGAATCACTGGAGACAATTCTTGATTACGATTTTAGTGGTGCAGATGTTCAGTGGAATTGTGAAAAAGTTGGGTCAAAAGGAATAGTGCGTGTCCCACCTGAACAGGGTAGTTCTTTGTGTTTTGACGTGTCATGCACATATTCTAAAAAAATATAGTTTTGAGTGTTGGACTTTTTGTGCTGTTGAATCTTTAGAAAGTAATCAGGAGCTAAGGAAGTGATATTTGAAAAATATCTGGTTTTAAGGCTAACTTTTATATCATTCTTCAGATTATTTGACAAATTATGTCATAACAATGATGCGTTATCTTTCGCGGTGGCCATTCGACATCCCATTTACAGAATCCACTCATGTACCTTATAAAGGATTTGAATTAAATGTTTTCAAAAGCATATGTGAACAGTTCGATCACAATTGTCAGATGCTTCCTGATTCGGTTGCCTTGACTGTGTTGCATATTATTCGGTTGTTTCGTCAGAGATGTCTCAAGGACCCAAATTCGTGTAATTTCTTAACTTTTCTTAATTTTCAATATTATTTGCAAAAAACATTTAGAAAGTATATATTTTTAATATTATGGTTAATACGGATTTGAAGTTTCTTGCATGATTTCCAAATTATCTCTATTTGCAGTTGAAATGCGTAAGGAGACAGTTTTCTGTGCGGGCATTTCACCAGTCACGCGATATGTGCAAAGAACAGTCAATGCACAGGTAGACTCACTTTTTTGCTGTTTAACACTGAATGATTAAATAATTAGAAGCAATAGTGGAATAACCGAGCTATATACGTTTGTTTTAGAGTCGCAATTTAGAAGTAAAAGAGGATATTATGAATTTGCATGCAACAGTATCACCTGATAATAGATTACTTGGTGACAAACAAATTATGTCAACAACGAGTGCTACTCGTTCTTCCGTTTCTACATCTTCAGCTGAGAATGACAGTTTTAGTAAGTCTGATCTGCAAACAGCATTGAAATTTTTAGTAATAAAACTACATTAATGAATATTTAACTGAAATTATCGTTCTGAGAAACGAAATAAATTATTTATATTTGGGTATGTTTTGAACGAAGTTTTCTTTTAGTTATCAACAAAGTATTGAGTCGAAATTATGGCATCAATCATACGGCTTTATTTCATTTGAGTCGAGTATTAATTAACTAGATTTATTTTCAGGTGGAAGAATGGCATATGAAGCAATTTTATCCAAGCTTCCAGGTCTGCAACGAAGTCCTGAACTTATGCAGCGTATAGAGGAGTTAGCTAAGACGAATACACTTTTACCTTGTTCAAGCACGCCATCAGTAGAATCGTGTGCATTACTTGGTGGTCGGTACTATAACTTTGTTTTCCATGGCTTATTCGTATTCCAGCTTTAGTTAGTCGTTTTTAGACAGTTTATAGTCTTTTGAAAGGATATAGATAATTTGGAACTCTCTAGGTCAAACTTGACCTCGCATTTTTCTCAGGAATTGATAGTGAAAATGAGAAATTGCTAAAAGAGGCAGTGTCACTGGTAATGTTAACTTTGGAGCCGAAAATTCGTCGTCAGTTGCATTATTTATTACGATTTATGCAACGTGTTAGCCGAAATTATTGTTTGCGAATGGATAAACATCGAGACAATCGTACAATTGTAAGTCATCAGTATTTTGGACATAGACAAAAATTCGCAGTAAGCCATCGTATAATTTATATTATACGCTAATTGTATTACATAATGTTATATTGGACCATATTATAT